TTGCACTTCATAGAAAGGGATCGACACATCACTAGGGCCAGCAACATCCTCGACACCAGTAAAGAAATCACGGAAAACGTCCTCCTCTTTGTGAGACCGGCCTACCTCGAGGGTCCCCAAAGCTTGGGCTTCCCGAATCTCCCCTTCAGAAAAGCGGGGAGAGTAGCCGAGTCTCCGATTACTATTGCCCCAAGTGAGTCGCTTGGGGCGTTCTCTTCGGTTCGGAGATGTTCAGGGCCGGCTCCCTTCAGATATATCCACTATTTGTTGACTTCGGTGGGAGGCATCCTCGATCTCCAGCAACTCGGGGACTTTACCCGAACCCTTCTCTAATATCCCATCAGTTCGAGGTAGAGGCTCATAAACCACCATCAATCCAACTGCCTTTGGGGCATCGATGGTTTTCTTCACTCAGGCCACCAGTACAGACCCGTCGTCTTCTTCTTCTTCCTCGTCATCATCCTTAGATGCCGAACTGATTTTTCGGTCAAAGGGATGGTATTATTCCTCAGCTTACGAGCCGCCCTTGTCTTAGGTTCCTCACCAGATGGGGGCCTCAATCCCGCACCTTTGCCCAGGCCTACACACAAGAAAATTGGCTAAGTTTATGGAAAATATTTTTGAACTATCAAAGACATGAGAAAAAAGTTTACCATGATATTTGGCCTCCCATCGACCCTTTGACAAATCATGCCACGAGCGCTCGGCGTATGTAGAGGTCAAAGCCAGGTCCCGTACCTAGCTCTTAAGGTTAGGAACTGCGCTAGGCATCCAAGGAACCGCTGTATCGCAAAAGGGGATATCGGTGAGAAAGAAACGGAGGGGCAAAATAATAGGAGATAACAGTAGAATTATACTTACGCTTCATGTTCCATTCCTCGGGAAATGGCATCTTCTCAGCCAGGATTAGGTCCGAAGTCTTCACTCGAACGAACCTTCCCATCCAGCCTCGATCCTTGTCCTCGTATATGCTCGAGAACAGCACCTTGGTATCCCGACGCTAGAGTTTTATTAACCCACCTCGAAAGGGGCGGGGGCTGTACAATCTGTGGTCGAGGCTCGATTTTGTTCACAAAAAAGTAGATCAGAATAACGATCCGCCAAAAAGAAGGATGGATTTGGCCTAGGGTTATTTGGTATTGACGGCAAAAATCGATGACAACAGGGTCGAGGGGGGCCTAACGTGAAAGGGTAGGTATACACACTTAAAAATTCTTTCACATGAGTAGTAATATCTTCCTCGGAAGTCGGGATTACCACTTCTTTGTTCTCCCAGTTGCAATCTTTCCTTATCTGTTCAAGACGCCCCTCGGTTATCAAGCACATATACCTCGATACTGGCTCACATCGACCGGGAACCGACAAGCCTTTGTCGATCTTAAAATCGAAGGTAAGAACACATGCACCGGGAACACACTCCTCAGGTTGTGGCTCCATCGGTGTTTTGTCGGCAGCAGGCTGTGAAAAAGAAGCTTTTTTTTAGGAATGATTTTATATGTTTTCTCCATTCTGGATTTAAAGATCGAAAATAGAAAGAGATGACAAAGGTTTTTTTTTAAAAAAAAAGAGATTTTGCAGTGAAAATCACAGAAGAAAGATTTTGCAGTGAAAATCACAGATTTATAGATAAACTCAGAAGGTGCGAGAAAGAACTTGGAAAATTTGGAGATTGAAGATGTAAAAGTGATAAATGGTAAAAAAAAATGGGCTATTTATAGATTGAGCAATGGCGGTGCAATATCAGCAGTGGCCGATAATCGTCTGACACGCATTAAATGCCTTGGTAAACTGAATCGACGGGACATCTATCACATACGTCATGGTCGGTTTTGGTGCAAACGTCAGTGTATATCTAATAACGCCGTTGAAAAATCACGACGTTTCTCACCACATTCCTCCCGAGAAACGAGGGGACTATCTGTATACGGTCGAAATCGATTTCGGCCTTCGTACGATTGGTCGAGATGAGAACATAATGAACCGAAGATAGTCTTCATAATATCGAGATGAGATCCGAAGAAGGCAAAATGTGCTTTGAGTTTCAGGGACAGATCAAATACCGAGCTCGAAGTCATTATCGAGCTCGAATCCAAATCGAACTATGATGAGAAGCGATGGAAACAAGCTTAAGAGCTAGAGGCCAACCAATACCAAGCCCGAGTCAATACCGGACCCCGAGTCAATAGCAAGCTCGAGCCCACATCGAGCTTTAAGCATGGAAACTGACTGATACCAAGTCCGATCAAGATCGAGTCAAGAGACAAAAGCCGTTACAGACGCACTAAGAAAGGGAATCTCGGCGGAACTTAGGAAAAAACTGATTTATCATGGGTTCTCTCCACTATGTATTTCTTATTATATCCAAAGTAGGATCTCTCCACTATAAGAGGGATGGTTATTATTCCTGCAAAGGGGATCAGGTCATTTATACACTATAAATCAAATACTGTTGATACATTCCCATATTAAGAGATTATCCTTTTGAGCTTCACACATAATTTCATTTTTGCTTGTTCATAAATCATCTTCCCTTCAACTCGATTTGTATCTTTTCTTTATAGTCAATATTCGATATTTTTACTTACTCTTACGATTTGTGTCAAGTTATACCACGTATCCTTAGAACTATATACAAATTCAACTCTATCCGTTTTTCGGGTAAACATTGTTAGTTCTGATTTGATCTATGTCAGTGGGCTTGGTGGAAAGGAGATTTGACGGATATGGTGATTAATATGGTTGAAATCAAATGGGTTAGGGGTTTTGGGCGACAATGGTTGCTGGAAATTAACAAAATGAGTAGGTAGGCACCAAGAGTGAACTATTAGTCACGGATCAGAGACATTTACCAGTAAGTTTTTCGGCCAACTCGAGTTTTCCGGTGGTCTATGAGTTTCTCGGATTTGGGGCTTTGGTGTTGCCGGCAATAGCTTCTTTTACTGATTTGGGATAGTGTGGGGGAGCTCACTAGAGAAGAGAAGTGAAAATGAAATGAAATTTTAATAAATTAATAGAAATAGGACCCACAAATAACACATGTCAAGTAATCAATAATCTAGCATATGATGTGTTTTACATGTCACGACAATTGATATACACATTCGGTTGTATGTATTTATTGGAAAAGGTGTAAGTCTGTGTACCAAATTGACAAATAGGTACAAGTTTAAGTGGCCACGAGGCGATTCTGTCTAACATTTTAATGGTTCAAGTTTTGCAAAAAAAACAGCTTTTCGACCAAACACTAACAAATGAAAGTTTTTTAATTTCTGCAACAACTGAAAAAGTTTGATTTAGTTTTTGCAATAACTAAAAAGCTTTTCTTTCCTTAGTATGTCAAAGAAAAGCAGTAGTAGCAGTATTTTTTGTTTTTTCAAAACATCAAATAAAATTGAAAGTTTTCTTCAAATTATTGAAGCAAACACTAACCTCCCGTTTGGATATAGATTTTGGCTATATTTTTTAAAAAAGTTTTTGACAATATTGTTTGTTCATGAAATTAATGGATGAAGTGAAAATTTTTCAATCACTTACAAAGCTTCAACTTTTTTCCAAATAAAATACATGTCTAAACATAATTTCAACTTTCAAAAATTATTTTTCAACACAATTTTAAAAACTCATTTTTTCGAGTGTTAACCACATTTATGTCCAAACGCTAGGTATGTTTAAGGTTGTATGCATCTACAATTTTTGGATGGTGTATGAACATAAACTATGAAGTAGCACATGCTACCAAGAATATCATCTGTTCCACTTAATGCTGTCATTACTTCTTGATATCATTTAATATTCTGTCTTTGTAAAGAGTTGATATGATTGAAGAGAGTTATACAGAATTTGATAGGAAAATTGTGTAGTACGTAGTTAATTTTGTTCATCTTTCCTATTATAAAAAAGAAATGATAAAGATTTCTGATTGGTACAAAGTCATTTTTTTATGCTTAATATCTTATTATTATTATTCTTCTCCATCAGTTGATGTAACTTCATTAATGAGATAGTTGTTTTTTGTTCTTTTGTTGTATAAATACATAAGTGAAAATTCGTTATGTTTATAAACAGTATAATAATTTGCTTATGCTACTTGATCTGCTAAATGCTATCTAGAAGACTGGAACCTTTCAGCATGACAGAGTTTAAATCTATGAAAATTTATTTATATGGAGATTTTTGTCGAATTTTTAGGGTGCCGATTACTCCTCTCCCCGTATCCACCTCTGCCTCCGGGCAATTTTAACTTTTGTTCTGATGTTACTGTCTTTTGCCCCAGAATAAAAAATTGAAATATGGACTAATGGCAGTAAATTTAAAATCAATAAAACAAAAGTCTCCTTAGCTTGTCTCCCACTAATGGTAGATGAACTCATGAAAGTGACATTGGGTGACTATTCTTGTTTTTTTCCAATCATTTCTAACCATTTGGATTAAGTTCATGTATTTGTCTTTGATGAGATTTCATATGATATAAAGATTTTTATGGGTTTGGCTAAGAAAGTTGTATAGAAGTTTATTTTTTCATATTTCATGTAATAATTCTTGAGCTCATAGGCGGATCTAGTATTTAGATCCTATGGATTCGACTTTTAAGTTTTCAGTATTATACCCATTATATTTTAAAAGTTATGTGTTCATACTATTTTTTCAATTTTAATAAATTTTTACATATAAATTTTTACTCCACGTCAAAAGTTATGAGTTTAATTGAACCCGTTTGTATAACTCTACATCCGTCCTTGCTTGAGCCGAGGGTCTCTCGAAAACAACCTCTCTATCTGCACAAGACAGAAATAAGTTTTGAATACACATTATCCTCCTCAAATCCCATTTGTGAGATTATACCTAAGTTATTATTATTATTTCATATTATAATCTGAATATCTTCCCTCCACCTGTTGATGCAAGTATGGTCCTCATCTTATTCGGATTATAAGGTACATAATTAAATATTTTGGGATAGAGATCAATTAAAAAAAGTAGGGGAGCTCTTTTTCTACGAAAATGGAGCCTGCCATGTTTGAAACTTTGAATTTTGTTATATACAAAGTTTGAAACTCTGACTTGTGTGTTGGCCACATGTCAAGATCTTGAATATTAAAGAAGTTAAGGAAAAAGAATAAAGTTGCAATTCTATTTATAGAACCTTAACTAAGCCATTTAAGCTAAACTAGTTTCTGTTCTACCACCTTCACAAGGTAGGGGTTAAATTTGTGCAACTACTGTCCTCCCTATTCGTTTCGTAGTTGTTGTTACTGTTATAGTTTCTGTTCTAAACTTATTAACAACTTGAACTTCGTTTCACAGCATAAGAATGGAGAATGACGAGGTGATTCTATTGAATTTTTGGCCTAGTATGTTTGGAATGAGAGTAAGGGTTGCACTAGCTGAAAAGGAGATCAAATATGAATACAAGGAAGAAGACTTGTTTACTGCTAAAAGTCCTTTGCTTCTGAAGATGAATCCAATCCACAAGAAAATCCCAGTTTTAATTCACAATGGAAAAACTGTTTGTGAATCTCTTATTGCAGTTGAATATATTGATGAGGTGTGGAATGACAAAGCTCCATTGTTACCCTCTGATCCTTATGAGAGAGCACAAGCTAGGTTCTGGGCTGATTACACTGACAAGGTAAATCTTAAAATTATGTTACCTTACCATGTCCTTAAAACAAATTGTTACCCTCTGATTGCGACGGAGTATTGTTAGTAGCATAGTGGTATTGTTAGTAGCAGAGTGGCCTTGCTGCCACGATCCACCGAAATTATCCCTTTGTCGCTCCGATTCGTCAAAAAAAAAAAACACTCTTATCCTTTGCTTGTACCTCTTTAAAATTACAATTTATTTGTAGTCCTTCTCAACATGATTATTTCTTATGTATACATCATTGGCCCGGCATTTGCCTATATAATCATTAGTCGGACGGGTGGCAATTGGTTAATGACTTCTAGCGGCAGCAGAATCTATTTGATTCTCTACAAGATCGTAAAACAATTTATTCAAGACTCAATAAATCTCTTAATGTTCTCTAAAATTCTCTTCAATTCTACTCCACAATTCTCAATAATTGACGTTGGAGATAAGTTGTTAGGTGTTTACCTTGGTTTCTTATAATATTTAATTTTCCTTTCTCTTGAAAGAAGGAAAACATATAATCTCCCGTATTTGACTAGTCATTTTTCCTGGAGTAATTTTTTTTTAGATATCTATAATTTAAAAATTATTTTTTCTCATTTAGTAGCATCCAGGATATAGTGGCTAGGGGGAGAATTTGTGTGACACGAGTACCCTGTAACTTGTGTGAACCTCTCTCTATCCTTAAAATAAACTTTTTGTTATTTTGTACTCTCTTTTATATAGTGAATTACTTATCTCCACCAGTGGATGTAGGCCAACTGATTGAACTACATTAAATATTTGTATCTTTTGATATATTTCTCTTTTATTTTCTGATTTATCATTGTTGAAGATATGCTTTGCTAGCTTCCTCATTACACCTGATTATTTCGATCCTAGCACTGACCCGTAGTTGATTGCTATTCTTTGATGTGAGCACAATAGATAACTTTTTATATGGGAAATCTTGAAATTGCAGTTGTATGATTATGGGAGAAAAATATGGGCAACCAAAAGAGAGGAGTTTGAGGGAGTTACGAAGGACTTGATAGATCCACTCAAGTTACTAGAGCTGGAAGTATTGGGAGACAAGCCTTACTTTGGAGGGGAAAGCTTTGGTTTTGTGGATATTGCCTTGATTGGATTCTACTGCTGGTTTTATACATATGAGAACGTTGGCAACTTCAGCATAGAGGCCGAGTGCCCGAAACTTGCTGCTTGGGGAAAGAGATGCATGCAGAGGGAGAGTGTCTCCAAATCGGTGCCCGACCCTCATAAGATTTATGAGGTACTACTAGAATTTAGAAAGAATTATGGAGTAGAATAAACATATTAATGTGCTTCAGAATTGGAGTATGAGTAGATCTATTTTCTAGGAATAAAGACAATCGCCAAGCGCTGGCTTGTGGAGTCTCAGTATTGTTTATGTAATAAAGTGACTATTTCAAAGTAAAGTCCTATTTTATGTCATCAGGATATGAATAATGTCAACATATATGTTGTTTTTCCTTTTCATAAATTGTTGAAAGACAGGGGCTGAGTCAATATCTTGCCTTATACCTCTTCAAGTTGAGCCATTTTAATTTTGAACTAATGGTTTCCTGTTCTTGTCACCACTATTCTTAATTAAATGAAAATATGGCTGGCCAAACTCAAGGGCAAAGATAATCAAAACTAACAGAAGGATCCAATGCACTTTTTGCAGACACTAAAGAATGATAAACAACCAATTGTAGAAGCCAATTTTTCATCAATAATATTGTAGTAGAACATAGGAGAAGTGACCAAATGTCAAAAGTTTCTTTTCAGACAATTTGGAACAGCGCGAAGATGGTGTAATGGGCATCCTATATATCGATCATCATCAACTACTTAAAGCTTCAAAAAAGTTTAAAAAAAGAAAATTCTCTACAAAGATGGAAGTTATAATCAATTATGACTCATAATGTAAGCAGTGGCATACTTATCATAACATGTGATACCAGCTCTACTACAACACCTGGATAGCTGATCCCACACATCCGTATGCACTAGTTTCAACTTCTCCTTCTTTGGCGTCCTTTCCGAGTTTGAGAAACTAACTCTCTTTTGTTTTCTGTACATACAATCTTCGCACAAACCTAATTCAACATGCTTGAGGTTTGGCAACTTTTCTTTGGATGCCAACAACTTTATTCCCTTCTCACTTATATGTCCGAGCCTCCGGTGCTACAATATTGTGTCACGACCATGGTCAACTGCTGTTATAGTATCTTTCTGTATTGCGGTTGCATACAATGTTCCTTTCTTGAAGCCTCGTGCCACAACCAAATTTTCTTTGGTTATCTTCCATGATTCGTTACCGAATACTGTTGTGTATCCTTCACTGTCAATCTGGCCCATGGATATTGAGGCTAGGAACATGTCGGACATTTTGTAATTTCCATAGCATCCCTTGTTAAGTCTTTATATGGACTTCACATTTTCTGACAATATCCAAAGGTTCGTCGTCTGCTAGATAAACCTTCCCAAATTTTTCAGCAACATAATTATGCAATAATTCTGTGATAAATAGCCAACTATTGAGTTGTGTCTAATTTCTCCTCTTAAGCTCTCTCACCTACTAGGCTACTACTGTACTAGGTTCGCAGTAGTAGGTTACAGAAATTCATAATAAAACATTTTATGACACATATCAATTAAGAAAAGATGGAGATTAGAGGAATCTTCTTTTTTAATATTTTCTTAGTTGGCCTTTCCTGTACATACATAAGAAAATGTAGCCTGCCTGGGTTTGAATTTTATCGTGTTTTGGCTACATATTAGAATCTTGAATACTGAAGAAGTACTCAGGAAATATAAGAAATAAAAAGTGTGGCACTACATATGCTCTACTTATTGAATCTCCACTAAGCTAAACTAGTTTCTGTTCTATACTTGTTAACAACTTGAGCTTAATTAATTTGCCACAGCATAGAAATGGAGAATGATGGGGTCATTCTATTGGATTTCTGGGCTAGCATGTTAGGAATGAGGGTAAGGATAGCGCTAGCCGAAAAGGAGATCAAATACGAGTACAAGGAAGAAGACCTGTTAAGTACTAAAAGTTCTCTGCTTCCTAAGATGAATCCTATTCACAAGAAAATCCCAGTTTTGATTCACAATGGAAAACCTGTTTGTGAATCTATCATTGCAGTTGAGTACATTGATGAGGTTTGGAAGGACAAAGCTCCATTGTTGTTACCCTCTGATCCTTATGAGAGAGCACAAGCTAGGTTCTGGTGTGACTACATTGACAAGGTAAATCCTAATATTATGTTTTCCTTCTCTTATGTTAAAATGTATAACAAATTATTAGTATTAGAATAAAATGGATAGGAGTAGGATCGAGTAGATATAGAGGACTCATATAGCAGATCCCGTAGTTGATTGATGTTCTTTAATGTGAGTTAGCGCAACCATGGGCGTAACTACATGATCCAAAGGGGTTTAATTGAATTCACTTCGTGGAGAATTATACAATGCAAAGAGGGTAAAAATCATTTGTTTTTGTATATACATTAATTGTTGATTCCCTTTGACATAAAACTTCTACTGATGAGACGCACATCTTGCATTTTTCTAACCTTCTTGTTTGAATTCCGGCTCTGCCACTAGCACAAGCGCACAAGTGGAGCGCTGGAGCAACTGTAAAGTTGTTTCTGTGTGACCTATTGGTCACGGGTTCGAGCCGTGGAAGAAGCCACTGATGTTTGAATTAGGGTAGGTTGTGTATATCACACCCTTTAGGGTGCGGCCCTTCCTCGGACCCTGAATGAGGGATGCTTTGTGCATCGGGCTACCTCACGCCGACTAGCACAAGTACATATAAATAATTGTTTGGCACATCTTTGAAAATTGCAGATTGTAAAGTACTCAACAAAGAATACTGAATTGCACGACCTAAGAAGCTAAGGTTTGTAGAATAGACTCTGAACAGTAGAGCAGTGAGAGCTAATCGAGATTTAGAGAGAAAGAGAGAGAGAGTGATAACTTGTATAATATCTGAATGAATCCCTACAACGTTTCCCCCACCTGCTTATACCTAGTGGATCCGTTAACTGCTTTCTAACGGCCCTAACGACCTCCTTAACCGACTAACTAACTAGTGTAGTAATTGACTTATAACCCCTGTACTTATTATTCATACAAAGACACCCCTAATAGAATATAATGTAACTGATATGTAACAAATCTTCCCCCCTTAAGAGTCCTTGTCCTCAAGGACAAACTGAGGAAATTGCTGCTTGAGAGAGTGTACATCCATTCAAGTGCTATCTTCTAATGGGCAGTTGAACCATTTAACCAAGACCTGAGAATTAATCCTGGTGCCCTTTGTCACTTCCCTAGTGTCTAGAACTCTTTCTGGTTCCAGAACAATGTAACCATGTGGAGACAATGAGATAAGCAAGTCGGGAACTACAGGTTTGTCCCCCAATTGCTTCTTTAGTAATGAGACATGGAAGGTGTTGTGTATCTTGGCATCAGAAGGGAGGTCCAACTGGTAAGCAATTGTGCCTATCTTCCTTAAGACTTTAAAGGGACCAAAGTACTTGGCATTTAGCTTGTGATATGAGTGCCCTTTTAATGACATTTGCCTGTAAGGTTGTAGCTTGACATATACCATATCTCCTTCTTCAAAAGATCTATGGGATCTCTTCTTATTAGTCTGAGCTTTCATTCTTGCTTGGGCTAACTGTAGATGATGCTTCAAGAGTCGTATAGTGTTTTCTCTTGCTCGTAGGCTCCTATCAACCTCCTCCACCAAAGAGCTGTGAGTCACATACGGCAAGTGTAGTGGTGGTTTCTGACCATATAATACCTCATACGGGGTCATTATAATGGCAGAATGGTAAGTGGTATTGTACCACCACTCTGCAAGGGGAAGCCACTTTGCCCATTCCTTAGGCCTATCGCTGCACATGCCCATGAGGTACCCCTCCAAACACTTGTTCACGATCTCAGTCTGCCCATCTGATTGAGGATGGTATACAGAGGAATGGTGCAGCTGAAATCCTTGAACCTCAAATAAAGCTTGCCAGAACTTACTCATGAAAACCACATCTTTGTCACTGACTATGGTCTGTGGCAAACCATGTAACTTGTATATATGATCCAAGAAAAGTTGAGCTACTGTGGCAGCCGTATAGGGATGTACCAAGCTGACAAAGTGGGCATACTTACTCAATCGATCCACCACTACCAATATGACAGACTTATTGTGGGATTTAGGGAGTCCTTCAATGAAATCCAAATTGATATCTTGCCAAACCTTTTGAGGTATCGGATGGGGTTGTAAGAGTCCAGGATAGCTAAAATTTTCCCCTTTGCACTTCTGACAGACTTCACATTGTCTAATATGCTGGTATACATCAATTCTCATTTTCTTCCAGTAGTAAACTTGGCTCAATCTGTATAAAGTAGCATCCATACCAGAATGCCCTCCCACAGCACTATCATGAAAGGAATGCGGAATATCCTCCTTGAGAGCCTTGTCATTGCCAACAACAATTTTGCCCTTCCTGTATAAAAGCTCCTCCTGTAGCATATATATAGGAGAGGAGATGGGATTATCCTTGAGTTGAGCTATCAGTTACTGTAGGTGTGCATCTTCAGCATATGCACCTCTGATCCGTGAGGTGAAATCTGAAGTAATAGTTGATATTGTTAAGAGTTGAGCTTCTTCCATTAGGTACCTAGACAATGCATCTACTACAAGTTTTTCCTTGCATTTCTTATAGAGTATAGTGTAATCATATCCCATCATCTTAGCAACCCATTGCTGTTGACTAGGTGTTCATACTCTTTGCTCCAACAGATATTTAAGTGGCTGGTGATCAGTTTTAATGGTGAAATGTCTCCCAATCAAATAAGGCCTTCACTTGTCGATAGCTGTAACTATTTCTAACATCTGCTTCTCATAAACTGATAATGTGAGGTGTTTGGAGCCTAGTGCTTTGCTCATATAAGCAAGGGGATGATCAGCCTGCATCAGCACTGCCCCTATACCCAGCCCACAAGCATCTGTTTCAATCACAAACTCCAACGCAAAGTTTGGTAAAGCCAATACAGGTGTAGTAGTCATAGCTGCCTTAAGCTGTTCGAATGCCACAGTAGCTTCTCCTGACCATTCAAACTTGTCCTTTTTTAACAGATCAGTTAGTGGTCTAGCCATGACCCCATATCCTTTGACAAACCTCCGATAATAACCCGTTAATCCTAGGAACCCTCTGAGTTCTTTGACTGTCTTAGGCATTGGCCAGTCTTTAATCACTTGAATTTTGCTGGGATCTGCAGTCACTCCTTCTTGAGTAATGATGTGCCCCAGGTAATCTACTTTTGTCCTCCCAAAAGAGCATTTGCTGAGATTTACAAATAAGGTGTTCTCCTTCAGAATCTGAAAAGCTTGTTATAAGTGCAATAAATGGTCTGGCCACATAGTGCTATAAATGAGTATGTCATAACAAAAACACTAGTATAAACTTTCTTAGGTAACGCTGGAATATTTGATTCATTAAGCTCTGGAAGGTCGAGGGAGTATTTGTTAATCCAAATGGCATAACTACAAACTCGTAGTGGCCATTATGAGATCTGAAAGCTGTCTTCTCTATATCCTTATCAGCCATCCTGATCTGATGATAACCAAATCTAAGGTCCAACTTGGAGAAATATTTGGACCCTCCCAATTCATCTAACAGTTCCTCTATAACTCGTATAGGGAATTTATCCTTGACTGTGCATCCATTTAGCTGCCTATAATCGATACAAAGCCTCCATGATCCATCTTTCTTCTTAACCATGACAATAGGAGATGAGTATCAACACATGTACCATCTTCCCTTTGATTCCACCTTTTACCCTCATAGTCCTGTAATCCCCATCTAGAGCATGGACTGACATTTGAGGGCTCAAAGCAGATTCATCGATGGCTCCTTCCTCACTCAAACCATCATTCAACTCCCATTCTTCTTCCTCTTCCTCCACTTCCAAGAAATAGAGTTGTTTCCTTCCCCTACAGTTGTGCCCAGGAGTGAACTTTTCATCACACCAGAAACACAGACCCCTAGCCCTCTTTTCATCCATCTCAGCTGCAGAAAGTCTTTTGGCTGTCCTCATCACAGGTTTCCCACTAGAGCTAGGTAACCTGGCACCTTCAGTGAGTTTGTTCTGGTTAGTTCCTTGGTTCTGCAAGTACCCTCTTGAATTGGAATGCCACGCAGAGGTTGGGGTAGGTAGAAGAGCACTGGAGCTCCTCAACAGCATCTGACTTTGTTCCTTTTATAATTTCAAAGAGTGTTCAGCCAACTTAGCCAAACTGTATGCCTTCATTAGAGACCTTGGCAGGGGCGGCTCAAGCGCAAGCAGGCCTAAGGCGAAAGTTTAATATGGGGCCTAAGTATTTATAGGAACGTTATAATATATATTTTTATTTAAAATCTATTCTTCTAGAATCTAGCTATTGGTGCCAAGATGGTTTTGAATAACCGAATGCATATTTTCTTGTTGACATATTTATATTTTAAAAAACAATTAAACAATATGTACAGAGTAAAATTAATAAAATAATAAATAATAAATGAAAATAACACTAGAGAAAGTTAGAATGACAAGAAGTTTGAAGACTTTGATTCCAAAATATCTAGTTGTTGGAGTCTCGGAGAAAGAAAGAAATCTAATAGAAAGAACTAAGATGATGAGCATGAATAAAGAGTTGTCGAATCAAATCAAAGTGACAACTATTTTTCTACTATTTTAAGCTTTACTTTATTAATATATCTAA